CTACCTACGTATCTATCTGTCTATCTATCTAGCTATCTATCTGTTTATCGATCTACCTATGACTTCAGATGTTATGGAAATTGGACTGTCTGTTTTTTGCACCTGGATCCTTACAGTAGCGACCAAGGACCATCCGAGCAAGGAGTTTGGCTGGCGCTTCACGACACGTCTTCTTGCCTGAGAGCCCCTGCGTGTGAAGCTGCTGTAGAATTGCTGCGCCCCTCCTGCTCAAACCCTGCTCCTCCTACTCCGTTATCTTGGTGTTGCTAGCGCCGTGTTCAGCTCCGCCAAGTGCCAGGTCGCGGTTTGCACGCACAAACGCCTGGATGAATCAGGTCAGCAGAAGAGTGTATCGCCTTGCCAAAAGCCCTCTGACCCCGCTGAAAGGCCATGGAAGCCCCCGACCAGCTGCGGCAACGCGTTGCCTGGGCCTTGTCGCAGATCTTGGTGACAGGCGGGGGGGTATTTTGTCGGAAGTTGCGGCCATTTTTCGAGATTGTGCAGGAACGGGCGGCTTCACTTACTTCTATCAGTTCGAGCACCTCGGCCCTCGCAAGAGTAGTCTGACTGTTCCTGGAGACCGTGGGTCCTGTCAGGACCTGGGTCAACTACTATGACATCTTGGTGCGTGGGGCCTTCGGAAACTACCTGGATTTGCTGCGGGAGGTCACGCTGAGTCCCCTCATGGGCATCTTGTTGCAATTTTTTGAAGCAGTATGTCGAGCCCTCCAACTTGCAAGTGTGAGTGAAGCTTTAGGAGAGTATCTCTCCTTCTTCAGAAACTCGGCCTTTGACCATGACCAGAATTATCCGGATGAGACGCTTGGGCAAGTCCACCTGGTGCATGAGCTTGGTCTCGCACAGATGTGCGCGTCGTTCGCGTCAGTTGACTGCTGACTCAGGAACTACGCGCGGGAGGACCGGGGGGCTTCCTTGTTGGTCTTGGCGTCTCGGGGTGTGGTCGCTCTCCGGGTGGCTTCCTTTCCGCGCAGGTGATGCAGCTGTTCACGGTGGGCACGGTGCAGCTCAACCCGGATGGCTCCGAAGTTCTTGTCGGAGGCAATCCTGTTCCGACCTACGACAACGAGGACTCCTGTGAGAGCCTTTTTTGGGCCGTGCGGAGGTCGGCGCGCCCTTTGTTGAGCGCTTTTGTAGAAAGGACATCATGACCTTCGCCAGCGTTCTAACCGGCTTTGACCGGCAGCTCATGCGCAGCAACCTGGAAGTAGTCAAGGGCAGCGGAACCGGTTGCGAGGCTGCACTTGAGCTTCAGACTTCAGAGTGTGCGTCTTGTTTGCTTCGCACGGCCCAACCTCTTCAGGCAGGAATCTCATTGACCCGATGCAAATGAAGTCGGAGTGGCATGATGCCTACCCGAAGATGGATCTGGACGACAACTACCTGGGTGATGGGTATCCCCTGTGCGAGGATCTGCCAAAGGGCGCTTTTCTTCTGAAGGGTGCACGCTTCGAATTTCTGAGCAGCCAGTATACCTCCAACGACCTCCTGACCGTCCATTCCTCCTCAGCCTTGTACCAGGCTTTGTGTTCTGCCAGTGGTGGCAGCTGCAGTTTCCAGGCTGTGGTGGTCTTGTCACAGGACCTTTCCTGTCATGCAGAGGAGTGCGACGCGACCATCCCTTCCGTTGTCAAGGTTGGTTCGGCCTACTACGAGTTTGTGCCGCCGGCATGCGTGCATCTTTACTTTTACAACGGCAAGATCGCCACAGAGGGGGGCGGGAGCCGGAACTGGCAGAGCCGAATGCAGTGCACGAACCCAGCTGCATTTGCTGGGGGTAGCTACTGCTGCGGTGGGTGCTCCAACATCCGTCCGCCGAGTTGGGTACCAGACAAGTTTTGTGAGAATCGCTCAAGCTCCACTTTCTCCAGCAACTGCATCAACACCAACAATTGGGTCAACAACAAGTACTGTGAGCTGCGCTGCTTTGAGGAGGGCTTGGGCTACGGAAGGGACTGCGCAGCAGGAGCATACCGGGAGGCTCATGCCTGCGGCTTCTACCAAGAGAAAGTGCCATACGCCACAGCGGCCAAGTACTGCGGCGCTTTGGGGATGCAGATCTGTGACAGGCCGGGCCAAGGGGCGGGTCGAACGGGACCGCCCAAAAGAGAGAAAAGGCGCTCCCCGAAAGAAGGTTAAACCCCCGCCCAAAGAACGAAAACACATCTCTGAGGCAGACGGAGCTGACCAGCTGTGGATACAACGACGATGGCTCACGGATCTGGACAGAGACGAACTGCAGCATCAACGTCTCTGTGGATGAGACCGGTAAAGTCAGCTCCCAGAAGGACTCCCTTGTGGCTTTGTCTCTGTGTGCGTGGGTGTGTGTGATTCTTTCCGGTTTGGGCTTGTTGAGGATGAGAGCACAAAGATGAACAAGATCCGGGTCAGCTGGACGGACAGCCGCCCCGATGTGGCTGCCTGCCCTGCAGACTGCAGCAGCGGGGCCAACTCCTGTGTCTGCCCGATCTCTGTGGAGCTTCAGCCGGTCTTCGCTGCTTGGCAAGTTCTCACGACCTGCGGTTTCCAGAGCCCTCCCATGCGCTTCCTATAAATCTTTTGCGTTTATAAGGACCGGATCCCGAGTGTGCAAGAGCTGCAGCAGCTGAAAGTCGGGGCTTTCGCACCTTCCGGCGCCTGCTCAAGCTGTGGTGACGTGAAAGCATATCATTCAGGTGTCATCGACGAGGAGACGATCTTCGAATACCAAGGCAGATGCTACAAGAACGTCGTGAGCCTCGTGCATGTGGCGGGCAAAAGCTTCCGAAACCCTCCGCTCTTCGGCTTGACCGAGACCCCCAGCACACGGTCGGCGATGTGGGAGGTCGAGAGCCTGCTTGAACACTTGGTGACTCACCCAAACACCGCTCCCTTCGTGTCGCTGCGCCTCATCCAGCGCCTTGTGAGCTCGAATCCAAGCAGCGACTACGTCCGAGACGTCAGCGAAGCCTTTCGGACCGGCCGCCATGGAGACCAGGTCTTCTCGGGCCGGCACGGGGATTTGGCAGCGGCCGTGCACGCGGCCCCTCGCACGCACTTGGCTTCGCTTGGCTTCGCTTCGCTTCGCTTCGCATTGCTTCGCATCGCAGGTGCTCCTCCACCCGGAGGCCAGCTCCTCCAGTCAGACCCGAGGGGCCTTGCGGGAGCCTTGCCTCTGCCAGCTCTTGCACGGGACGGGCCTGCAGGTCGGTCTGCAGGTGCATTGATGCTGCGCTCAGCCGAGGAGCCGTTGATCAAGCTGGTGCACTTCCTGCGAGCCACGGAGTTCGTGGATGCCGGCGGACGTGAGCTGATCTTCAAGGAGCTGCAAGACCTCATTGGCCAGGCCAGGCAGAGGATAGCAGCCGGGCCCTCCCCTCTCAGGCAGAGTCTCTTGAGAGCCCAGGCACCCTTCATGTCGCCCTCGGTCTTCAACTTCTACCGCCCGGATTTTCAGCCGAGTGGCCTAGACGGGCTCGTGGCGCCCGAGGCGCAGATATTTGAGGGAGCCAACGTGGTGAACTTCATGAATGGCATGCTCTCCATGATCAAGCACGGAGGTGTGACTTACTGTGATGGGGGTCTGGGTCTTTTGACGGAGACTTGCGGCCAAGGCCAAGGCTCCTTCACCAAGGCCTGGGGCTCTCAAAGCGAGGCATTGGAGGAGCTGAATCTGCTGCTCACTGGGGGCCGTCTTACGAACGAGTCTCAGCAGATCGCCCAGGCGGCTTATGAGAAGGAAGGGATCCAGGCCGCGCAGGAGGCCATCGTCTTAGCACCGGAGTTCAATGCTTTGGGCGACCCGATGCCAGAGGGATCCCAGCGAGATGCCAACGGGAATGCCCCAAGCACGCACACCCCGGCATCCTACAAGGCCTTGATCAACTTGTATCTCGGTGGAGGCGCAGACACCTTCAATCTCGTGGTGCCCATCGACTGCGACCTTCATGCAGAGTACCAGGCGGTCAGAAAGACAGCCGCTATGCCAAGCGCAAACCTATTGGAGATCAGCACCGTGGGACAAAGCTGCAGCAAGTTCGGCGTTCACCGGAAACTTCCCGTGCTGCATTCTTTGTACCAGGACGAGCAGTTTTGTGCTGCTTGCACTCGTTCTTGCATCTCTGCTTGTTCTGTGTCAGTGGGTCAGGAAGGGCGTGCTGCCTTCGTAAGCAACATTGGTTCGCTGGTCGAGCCGATGGACAAGAATGATTACTTCAAGGCAGGCGGACTAAACTACGACGTGGAGCAGGAGCCTAGGGGTAGGGCCCGCTGAAGCCGACACCTCGCAGGGCTCGAAGACCACCTGCGCCGGTCTCTTCTCCCACTCGGACCAATCCGAGGCGGCTCAGACGCTCAAGTGCCAGGCAGGGGAAGAGCCTCCCTAAACCCAAGAGCTGCAGAGAGCGGGGGGGGGGGGGCCGGCTGNNTTAGGGTTTAGGGTTTTAAAGTTTGTTGTTTTTAGGGTTTAGGGTTTAGGGTTTAGGGTTTAGGGGTTTAGGGTTTAGGGTTTAGGGTTTAGGGTTTAGGGTTTAGGGTTTAGGGTTTTTTGGAGGTTCGAGGCTCCGGCCCCAAGGGCGTCGGCGGCCGCATGGCCGACTCTCTCAGTCAGACGCAGAACCTCCAGACCATGAGCTTCTCCTTGAAGGGACGCCAGACATGGGCCCAGGGAACCTACACCAGCCAAGTCGGGGTGCCCGTCACCGGGGAAGTGCCCACGACACTCAGTGGCAGATAGTCAGCTCCTGCTTACATCATCACCTGAAAAGCCGCCATGCCACCAACTGATTCAGGCTCCTGAACTATACGGGGAAGCGACAACTCCTGGAGGACCTCACGCAGCAGAAGCTCGGGAATGTCTACTGCGAAGAGTATGCGAAGAGCGCTGGGGCTCTCGTCGTTGCCTGGCGCAAGTCATGCCAGGACAGCCTAGGCAGAACTAGGTGTGACATGGGCTGAATCCTTGCCTTTTCCAAGGACTCCAACCAGGCGCTTTTCGACCAGCTTGCAAATGTCACTCTGATGACATCCTGGGACATTCCAAGTGGCGCCGAAGGGAAGATGATGAAGACGCTGCAGGCTGTGGCCAAGCTCATTGTCACGCGAACCGTGCCTTGCCTCGACATTTGACAGGCCGCGTCTTTGAATGTCTCGAATCCAAGGAGCGCCAGGTAGAAAGAGACTTCTTCTATGTGGAGATGGGAGGCTTCGACACCCACAACGAAATCCATGAGGCCTTTGACTCGACTCTCCTGCGTAACGTTTTGAGATCGTCAGCTGAGCTGCGCGCGATCTGGAGGTCATGGACGAAAACTTCGATTACCTCAACATTGCCTTGGAGGTAACTCGCAGACTGCATGCTTCGAAGTGCGGAAGTTGTGCCGTCGTGCGAGGCCTTTGTAGCCGAGCTCAAGGCCCAAGGCATTTTTGACGCCGTGACCATGGTTTCTTCGTCTGACTTCGGACGTACTCTGACCTCCAACGGCAAGGCCCTCTTGGGGTCAGTGAGCGCAGCATAGCTCAGCAGAGCACAGCGAGCAAGCAGAACATTTGGCCAGTCTGCGTCTTCTAATGCCAAGGCCTCGCCTTTCAGCCCTTCCGAATGTGGGGTTTGGTCAGGGTTTTTGTCTCCGGCCCGGCCGTTCTGCTTTTCGACTGAGGGTTGAATGTTGGGTAAGAGAGTGCCGAGCGCAGAAGCAGAGAGAAGCAGAAGCCGACTTCCGTGCAGGGCACCGACCATGGATGGGCTGGAAACCACTTCGTCCTCGGAGGCCTTTGCGCGAGCTCCGTGTGAGGCTTCTTCGCGGGCGGATGTTGCAGGTGCCGTCCGTGGCGGTAAAGTCTTGAATGACTATCCTGCAAGCCTCTTGGAGGGCAACAACCAGGCGCAGGGCAGAGAAAGGGAAAGGGAAGAGACATGAAGAGCTCGTATTCGCTCCGCCTGCGCTCCACTGCTTCGCAGGATGTCGGTCGAGGCCGCCTGATTCCCAAGTATCCCTGGGAGAGTTTGCTCTTGCCGGTCTCGGAGTGGATGGGAGTCAGCCCCGCAGACCAGCAGACCATCTTTCCGAATCTAGCGAATTTCAACTCCTCGTACATCTTGCCAACCAGCACGCTTTTCGACTGACGGACGCAGAACTGCGTAGCCGTCGGTGCGTCGGTGGCGCTTTCTCTTTTCCTCTCGCCGGAGCATCCCCTTCGAGAGGGAGTGTGGCGAATGGAAGGCCAAAACGAGAGCCTCGCGGACATTTCACTATAGAAGGGGTCCTTTGTGAGGCTGGGTCTTCCAAAAGTGACTTCCCGAAGCCGAGGCCCGTTCACGAGGTCTTCGATTTCGACTTCACCGAGCAGGAAGTGAAGATGCCCGGGGGCCCAGCCGGGCCAAGACGGCAGCCGCAACAGTCTTTTAGGCAGCTCAGTAGGCATTTTAAGTAGGCCTCGGCCTCATTTGCCCTTTCTGCGAATCTCAAGGAGTGGTCAGACGGATCTGACTTTTGTCGCAAAGGAAGATGGCGTCCTTGCCTCAGATTCATCTTGCGAAAGGAACTGGGCTGCGCTGCCTCCCAATTATTGTCTCCGAGGTGCTAAACTGCATAGTCTTCTGGTACAAAATGCCGCGGGCTTCGCGAACACCCGGCTTTCTGGACCATGCAAAGCGCTGTTTTTTTTAGGGCGCTGACGGCCGACGTCTCCTTAGATCACACTCCCGAGCAGTTGAGGCCAGAACCTTAAGACATCTATCAGCTTTGAAAAGAAGCTTTCTGTGCCTGCCCTCCGCAGGGAGAGTGCAGCTGTCCACGGTGCCGGCTGCTCAGACAGCAGGTGCCAGAACCGTGGAGATCAGCGTCGCTTCGGCAAGGACTACAATCGGCACGCGTACCAATGGTTGCCGACGCCTCTTCAGGCTGTACGGGCTGTGCATATTGGCATCTTTGGGGCTCTCGAAATTGCACGGCAGGTTTCCAAGGGTGACGAAATCGACATCCGTCGGCATCCTCAGAAGGGGGGCGGGCCTTGTCCTTCAGTTGGCTGAGAGAGTGGAGCAGTGGACTGGAGAGGAGCCTCATACAGCCGCTCGCGCATCCGCTTCGAGATCATGAACAAGGAGGCTCTGTGCTTGAGAGCACAGCGAAGGCTGATGATATCATGGCAACGCCCGTGTAGCCATGGCCATCCAGCTTTGAAGTTACAGGAGTTTGGCCTCGTCCGAATTCCATCGCTTCTAGAGCGAAACTTGTCCTGTTTTTCCCAGACGGCTACGGTTTGGGCTTCGGACGGCTTAGATGGAAACAGCAAGCTGGCGGCAGGGAATACCTTGGCAGTGAACACCACTTGTTGTATCGAAAAAGGCGATGGTAGAGCTTTTTTTTGAAATGGTGGGTCGGTAGGGGGCTATGGGCAAACTTTGCATAATTGTGACAGTTCTGAGTGGGTCTGTGTGGATCCCATCAAGGAGGAGGCGCCTGTCGAAACGCAAGGATGCCGGCGTCAGGACTTCGACAATCGTGTTTCGTTCTTTGGTCACTTTGGTGACTTTGATCACTTTCACCAGTAAATCAATCATCGCTCCCCACAAGAAAGTGACCGGCAGAGTGTTGGCATCTGTGGGATAGTTTTTGGCGCACACAGTGATGTAGTGAATGTAGTGGTTTTGTGCAGTGATGGGTCTGCCTTTTCATTGTCACCGTGGTAAGATGGTTGCGGCACAATTAGCATCTGATGCCAGATCCCCAAGAAGCCCAAGGGGGTTGGATGCTCCGGCCTCGATATGGAATGACTGTGCAGTTTTGAGGCATCTTGTGGCCCCTCGGCCATGGTCAGGTCCGCGCTGGCTTTTCCTACGGCTTTGGGACGAACAGCGCCGCGAGCTTTGTCCGGGAGGCGGTGCAGTGCTGGCCTTGCAGTTCTAGGGTTCTTTCAGGTCTCGAAGCTTTCCGCAAAGCCATCGAGAAGGCGCTCGAGAAAATCATGGAGGCCCGCCTCGCCTGTGCAAGTGTATGGTGTGCAACGCTCAGAATGAAGGCTCGGGACGCTACGCCAAAACTGGACCGGCCCCCGCTGCGCATCGTGCACATGGGGGCAGGCATCGGCACCGAGATGCAGCAATACAGGAAGACCGAAAAGAAGATGGAGCAATAAGAAGAGGATAATCAGCGGAATAGCAAGAATAGCAATAGGACAGAAGTATCAAAAATAAGTAGTAGAGATACTCATAGTCATAACCATAGTAATCGCAATGTCAAAGAGTAACATGGACAAGAAGTACAAGCAGAAGCGTGAGGATGTCTGGGTGCGCACACACACGGGGCTCATTGAAGCCAACTCCAAGCCGTAGTTGCAGCTACATTCCTTAGAAGGAGGTGCCCCATGGAGCCATCAGCAGGCTCTGAACCTGGTCCAAGGGATCAACCAGACTTGCCCAGCGGTGTCGCCAGCTACACTCTTTAAGCCTCGTTCTTCCAGAACTCCGCCCAAACCAGTGCTCCTACCAACCTGCACGTCTTCCTCGCCGGCCGTGGGCATGCACCGCCCATCTCGGAACGCTTCGCGCCTGTGCGTACAAATTCGTGGTACCTGATATCACGGCAGCACCCTCCATGGACACAACAGGACGGACGAGCGGTGAATGCTATTCGCGGCAGGAGCCAAGCTTGCCTTCACACGGCGGGGAGGACGATGGATCTTCACTATTGAAGCTCTCGCCGAGTTTCCCCAACGGATGTCACAGAAGCCCGCGCGCATGCAACAAGCCACGATCAGGAGTCCTGTCAGCATGAGCGGGAGCACAAAATGAAGCCTATTAAAACCTGCGTTGGAGGGGACTCGGGTATAAGTTTTTCTTTTAGACCTGCCTCCTTTACCTGGTTGCTTGCAGTTCGGTCCGCTTGCAGTGCATAGGCAGAGAATAGGGGGGAGGTCGTCCAGGCAGTGAGTGCGCATAGGGGCGTTCCAAAACTTGGTGTGCCACTGGTTTCTGTAGTTCTGACCACGTATGTTGCTGACAATGCACGGGGGAGCGTCGCAGCCAAGGAGGAACCGGTTGCGGGAAGTCGCGTGTGGGGCCTGGAATCCCTAAGGCCCGCAGCGAGCAAGCGAGAGAGTAGGAATCCGAACATGTTGGGAATGAACCGATCATGTACGCAGGTTGAAACAGTTCATATCAATTCATAGTCCCTGCCGGTGCTCTCTTCCTGAGCATGTTCATCCCTTCCCAAAGGTCCGCAGACAAGGGGGGTCCGGGAGGCCTGACTCGCCCCTATTTAGGACTGCAGAGAAACTGAGGGTGAGGGTGAAACACAACAGGTGCGTTCTCGCGTGCGAGAGAGGGCGGGATCTCCTTTTTTCTTCCGGCAGATGGCTGGACGGATGAATGGGTGGGGGGGATGGATGGATAGAGAGGCACACAACCATGGCATGCCGCGCAGAAGAAGCACAGGGAGGAGGGTGCTAGTCCAAACCCGGCAAAACCTGCAGGGAGGGCTGTCAACGAATTTCCACCGATGCAGGGCTCGGGCAGATCTCCATGCTGACGGCGAAATGTCCCTTGCTCGACTTAACTACTGCTGGTGGAACCGGTGGAGTCGGGTGAGGGGCTTTGTCAGGTGCCCGTGAGGCTGGGATCACCGACGAGGAGATTGAGACGCACGGCTACTCGGTCATAGCGCTGGAGCCGGCGGCCGAGGGGAATCAAATGCCATCCGCGCGTGAATGAACAGCACCGGGGCTTTTCAGGCAGATGCCCAAAGTGGTGAAGCTCGCCCGGCGCCTTTTTCGCGACAATGGTCTCGATCGAGATGTCTTCCTCTGCTCGGAGGCTCCGAAATCAGCACAAGAATCGCCTTGAGCAATTTTTTTTCGCTGCTCGCAGGACGTCCGAAAGCTGCCAAGCTCGGCTCCAAGAACATGGCCAGCTCTGTCCTCCCGGGCTCCTTAAAGCAAAGGTCAACCGCAGCGAGCGCAGCTGGTGGTCTGCGAACACTTTGATCCCGGGCTGCTGGGCCGCTCGGTGCCATGGTGCCGCGAAGGGACGTGGGCCGTGGGGGGTGTCTCTGGTCAGGTCTTTTTGTTCGGGCATATGACGCGGTGTTCTCAGGTGAGGGCATCCTGGTGCTTCTGAATGCGGCCCGCATCAAGATGTGCAATGCCTTCGAGCACCAGGCGCCGAGAGACGGAAAGGTGCACTTAGAGTGGCGATCTGTGCGGCAAGGTTATCCCTAGCAGAGCGACCATTTGGGCAGCCGCTTTCGAGTGCCGGGCTCAGTGCGATGCCTCTCAGGCTGTTCGGACGGACGTCTGTACGTCTCCCCTTCTTATGGGATCCCGGCTCCGGCTTCACAGGTTCGGCGAGCAACTGAGGAGCTACGACGGGCCGGACCAGAAGACAGGCCAGCCCAGAAAAAAGCCATGCCAAGACAGCGCCAGGTTCGACCTGAGTGCTCTGAACCACTACCGGACGGGTCTGATGACCGCGGCCGAGCTTTTCTTTGCCCTGTCTGGTGTTCTGAAGTTCGCTTGGGAGCCAGTTGTGGGGTGCCTTTCAGGACTGACGTGGACACGGCACTGGCTGACGGCAGCGCCCGGCAGCTGTCCAACGTCTTTGAGGCAGTGGGCAGAAACGTTAGTTGTCATAGAAAAGCCGGAAAAGCAAACACTACGAAAGCGCGAATGAGGTTTCACATGAAGAGAGAATGGATCGTGAACCGGTCATTTGACGCAAGTGAGATACAGCTTTGTATAGGCACACTGCGACACAAAGTTGATGGAAGCTGATCGAGGTGAAGGTCAGGGTTGTAGGTGATGTGATTTCCAAGCCATGTGAGGTTTTCAAGTTTGACTTCGAGAAGAACCTCATGCCAGATGTCGGGTCCTTTTTTGTCTACTCGTGTTCCCCCGCGCACTTCGATCCCAGGCCCATTCCATCACCTTCACGCCCATCTCCACAGGCCATTGTATCGGCTTCATCGTTGATTGGCGTAGCTTTGAGAGCGGAGGAAAGGTCACCGCCATTGTGTTCTGGTACGAGATGCACATGGACATGGAAGGTCGCTGAGGGACTGTTGGGTTGAGGCCTGGGGGTTTTGGTTTCGCTGTGCATCAGGAGATGTGATCCTCACCAACTGGCCGGAATCGATCCCGCCAGACTGCACGGAGTCCGCAGCTGACGGGGCTTCGGGCTTCTCGCTTGGCGAGGCCTGCAGACTTCTCCATGCTCGAGAAGGACCTGCAGAGGTCTCGGAGGGTCAATGAAAGCGGGAAGCGAACCCACGGAGCGTGAGACCCCGGACCCCCTCTCGTTTGTGGGAATTTCGCGTCTTTCGCCCCTTCCGAGGCACCGGGTGTCGCCCTTGCGACAGGCTGTCTGCAACTTCCAAGGCCAGTGCTTGGTTCCTCCCTGTTACGTCCGTCCTGAGAGCTGCAGGCTAGGTGGCTAGGGCCTGGGGTGAGAGAGTGGAAGGTAAAGACCTTGAGCTTGAGCTTGTTTCATGTTCAGATAGAGAGACGCTAAGTCCGAGAATGTCGCGTCTCTCTTCCGTCTTGCCTGGAGGCAGCTACATCCAGGAGGTGGTCAAGGATCGCCTAGCCGCGTAGCCTCTCCGCTCCAGTCAGCGACCTGACGCGTTCTCGCTGCACAGGACGAGCCCATAGAGATCGACGTCGGCTACCAGCAGGCAGCCTCACGCAGCCTCACAGCCTCGCCACCTTGAGGGCTCCAAGGCTCCAAGGGCATCCCCTGGCAAAGGCCTGGCCGCAGTTCATCTGGCCAGGCACGGAGATGGCCCAACGCCCAGAGAAAGCTCGGGTCTGTCATCTCGTGGCACAGACGGCATAGCCGTAGATTGCACAGGTGCAGAAGGAGAGCGGTGAGAGGATACCGAAGCCTCCTCCGATGCCCCGGCAGTGCCTTCAGTGCTTCCGCGATTCTTTTCTCAAGTCTCCACCGCAAGATTTCGAGGCATCGACTCTACTACGAGAAGATGAAGACAGAAACCGAGAAACTGGAGTCTCCGTCTCAGCTTGATTCCTGGTGCCCGGGCAGCCTTCCACAGAACGATCTGATGACTCTCGCCAAGGCAACAGCTGCAGAGCGGGTTGATGTACGATGCAGGGAAGCCCAGAAGAGCTGCTGTAGTGTTCTTCTTTTGGACTTTCAAGGATAGGGTCATGCTGTGGACGTGCCCGGTTTGATGTCTGCTCCTTGCCTTGGCCTTGGCCCAAAGTCGCCTCACTGAAATTGTGAGGGGCTGTCAACTGCCTCTTTCCTCGCATCTTGGCCTGCAGTAGATAGACAGCCGTCCACCAAACAATCGAAGATGCAGGTCCTTGCTTCGGAAAGAGCTGGGAAGACAAGTCTGAAGCAAACCCTCTCCACCGACACTCAAGGACCAAGTGAATCCCCCTGAACCAAGGAGCGGGAGAGGCCTCCATTTTCATGGCGCGTATCAGACACCTGGTGCTTTTGTCCCTAACTGCTCTTTCCATCGCAGCCGAGGAGCTTGCCCGCTAGGTGTCGGAAGACTGAGTCTCAGTATGTCTCGGTGTTCGCTCCTAAGTCCTAAGTCTTGCGGAGGAAGCCCTGTGGTCGACCGTCCGAGTGAAGGGCGACGGCCGGGGAGATGGTCACGCCCACGTCATCGGCGATGTGGGCACCGCCACAGCCGTAACCGTGTCGCAGGCCTCGCAGGCCCAGGAGCCACAATTTTCGGTTTTCTTGGCGAAGGTCCGTGGATCAAGCTCTTGTTTTGTTCATGGGAGGACGCGGTGCATGACCGTGGGCATCATGTCCACCATGTCACGTACATTGACGTTCCTCCAGAGCATCTACACGAGCACGTGCAAGCCTCAAGCGACTCAAGTTCAGAGCGTAGAGTCATGGAGTGTTTGAGCCCGCGTTTCGTTCCTGGGAGGACGCGGTGCATGACCGTGTGCATCATGTCCACCATGTCACGTACAGTGACGTTCCTCCAGAGCATCTACACGAGTACGTGCAAGCCTCAAGCAGCTCAAGTTCAGAGCGTAGAGTCATAGACGAGTCATAGAGTGTTTCTGAGAGCCGAGTATGCAGGCGACGTATGCGGACAGGGCTCCGGGCGAAGCCAAGCCGGACTGGTCGCACGTGACCTTGTCACAGCAACACCTTGATCCCTCCAAGGCCAGGCTTGCCATAGCGGAATGACACACGCGCACACACGTACGTACGCAGCAATGTAGCAGGATCCTTCCTTCAAGTGGCATCTGCAGGTCCCAGCCGAGTGGATGGACGACTCCGGCAAGGCAGCACCTCTGCTCGGCTTGAGCTCAGCATGACGCACATCCCGGTAAGGACACGCAAATCATCCACGATCACCATATCATCTTCGACGATTTGCCGGCGGTCCATCATGTGCAGCACGTCGTCCACTATCACTACGACCAAGCACAGGCTTCACCGTGCTCGTGTAACGACACTCTGCACATCTTGCAACCCTGTGGAAGGCTCCTGCACCAAAGCACACGTGCGATGGCCGGGAAGTGCAGTTTGATGATTGTCCAGACCAAACAAGGCTCTTTCGGACCTCTCTTAACAAGGCACCCCTCTCGACCTGCTTCGGCTGTGTCAGGTGTGTCGCCTGCACGCCTGTGGACTGCCTCTTCACTGAGTGGAGCAGGTGGGGAGTTGTGCCAAGGCTGTCAAAGGGTCCCGGAGCTGAGCCGAGGTGGTATGACGGCGCTGGCTGCATAGGCCTCCGATTCCGACACAGAAGCATCCAGGTGGGCAGCTCGGAGTTGTCTGATCGGCTTTCACACGCCACAACTTTTCCGAGGTGCGGAACAACGAATGCGGCTTGCCATGCTATGGGTCCAAGATGGAATCCGAGCCCTTGGCAGAGCCGAAGCCAGAATGCTTGAAGAAGCAGCAGGACGGGATCTTCGAGATGGCTCGAAGTCACACTTGGCACTTGCTGTGGACACGGTTGTTTGAAAGCTCGCGAGAAAGGGAGCGACGGCAGGACTGCGTGTTTTCCTCCTGGAGCCAGTGGAGCGTCTGCAAGAGCCAAGTGGACCAGGCCAGGCTCGGAGAGGACCCGCAAAGAGAAACCCTTTTTGTATCGCGAAGTGAAGCATCGCGAAGTGTGGGACACACGTCGCATCTCAGGCGATACGAGAACGGCACATCGACCGAGAGCCACTTCACAACGGGGAGCCCTGCAACTTGCACAAACCCTAGGCCCTAGGAAGGCCTGTTCTTCGTCGGTGTCGGCGACGCATGCCGACGCCTGACTCGTCACTTAAGGCAAGGGCAGCAGCAAAGAGACGCGACCCTGTGGCGGTCCAGAGCCGATGCCCTGCGTCTTGTCGCCGGGCCCCCGGAGCGGAGCATGCGGAGCATAAGCCGGAGCCTAAGCCGGAGCGCGATGCGAGCTGAGGGATTGGCACGAGTGGACACCTTGCAGTGCGACTTGCGGTGGCTCGGACTGCCAGACAGAGACAGGAAGGCTTTCGACTGCTCCGTGCGAAGTTTTCACGTTCCTACCTTGTGAGGTGAGGGTCGACACACCCGCATGCGGCGAGTGAAAAACGAGGAGCCTCCGACCGCTGAGAGATGCCCAAACTGAAACCTCTCTGTTCTGTTCTTGTGTCGAGGACTATTTGAGCGGCCAGACCTGCGACGATGCCCTGATGGAGACCAAGGAATGCTCAGTTTCGTCCTGCCCCTCGCAGGACTGCTCCATTAGCGCCCGGGCTGCACTCAAATCTCTCAAGTTTCCATCACCGAATCCGGGGCTGGTGTTGGGTCTTTGGGTCTCAGGCACGTGGTCCGAGTGGTCACCATGCGGCCGCCAATCCCTCCAGAAAACGAGGCAGGCTTTGCCGGTTGGGGCTGTGGTCAAAGTGGGCAAAGCGAGCCGCACAGGAACCGTGTGGTGCTGGTCAGCCCCGAGGGCGCAGGTATGGCATGCAATGTCTCGCCTCTTGGCAGCGGCCATGCTGCAGAAGCGTGAGACGCCTCCGCGTCTCGCTGTGTCTAAGGCTCATGGAGGCCGACGCTTGTGCCCCGCAGGCTGGGACCCGACCGATGCAGCTGCCTGTGCACGTCCCACGGACCGCCAGGCAGGCGAAGACTGCATCGTCTCTGAGATTCTTGGCCCGCAGCGAGTCATTTCCTCCAGTTTTCTCAGCGTCAAGGGTGAACCGCCACCTTATGTTGTCCAGGTGGTCAGCATGGACTCACTGCGACAAGTCCTGCCATGGGGGGCAAACCTACCGCCACCGGAGACTGATGCGCTACAACAGCTTCGGGGGCGCTTGCCCCACAAGCTCCTTGAAGGCGTGCGTTTGAGTGATGCTGGATGGACAGGAACTGTCTTGGCCCTTTGGATTTTTTGGCCTGAGTTTGTTGCTTCTCCAGGAAGTTGCGCCCTGCAACACCCAAGCCTGCGTTCCCGTCACGAGGCGGCTGCTTGTGACGCCTTGTGTCATCTTGTGTCCCCTGCGGTGTGCTGCTCCGCTATCTCCGCGGCTGCCAGGGACTGCGTCTTCGGCGACTGGGGCAATTGGAGCACGTGCTCCCAGGAGACGGGCCAAGGCTTCTCCAAGAGGCTCCGGAGCCTGGAGCCGGCCACGGGCGACGGCAAGGCCAGGGAGCGACGAGGGAGCGAGGGAGCGAGGAGGGAGCGGCTTCTCCCTTCTTTCAAAGTGCTGCAGCCTTCGTGTCTGTGTGCAGGCCTGCAATGGAAGCACCGTCGAGCTGAAGGCTTGCCAGATCAAGCCTCAGGAGGCAAGTTCCCGAGTGAGAGAAGTGACAGAGGCGCTGTCCGCAAGCTTCGCAGGTTGTCGACTGCAAGTGGGGGAGCTGGTTGGACTGGAGCGACTGCACCAAGACCTGTGGAGGAGGCTCAATAAACGACCCCGTTTCAAGGGAGGGGATGGGCCGGGGCCGGGGGCTGCGCTGTTTCGCGCTTCTCGTTTGTTTTTGGAGGCTCCATGCGCCGGAGCCGGGCCGTGGAAGCGGCGCCGCGGAACGGTGGCCTGCCCTGCCAGGCCGAGGATAAAGAGGCTCATCCGTGATCGCGCCTGCACGCGCCTGCACGCGCCTGCACGCGCCTGCGCGTTCTTTTTTTCATGCGGGATGTAGAATAACAGTAACAGCGAGGAAGTGACTTTCTGCAGCACCATGCCGTGCAGCGGCGAGTGCATCGATGGCACCTGGAGCTCGTGGGCGGCGACTCGGCTCAAACCCTCGTCTGTCCTGTAGGGTTCTGTCCGTTTCTTCGGAAGGTTTTCCATCCGCTAGTAACGGAGAAGGAGAGTACTCCCCCCCGAAGCTGTATCAGACAATAATCGCGAGAGAAACAATGGGACACGGGCATTGGCGGGTTCGCATCTTGCCACAGGCGTCCAGCTCAGCCAGCAAATGTTGTTGGACATAGTGCTTTTTCTCGCAGGGAGGAAGCGATTTCGTGTTTTTCTGTCGACACGGTTGCTTGTGGCTACGAAAAAAAGCATGTCCCAGGAAGTAAGGAAAGTCTAACTTGCTTTTCTGAACGTCATGTCGTGCCGTCGGGGACCAAACTCAGTTCGTCTCCTTGTCTTTCAGAATCCTTATGTGAAGACCAGAGCGAATGCTAGAGGAGGAAGGAGAGGAAAAGCGGTGGCAAATCGCGCTGTTTGGAGTCTACCCACGAAAGCTGACTGAGACTGCATATGATTTAGAAGGTGGCCGTCTGCAGCTGGCGGGTAGCGTGCGCTGACAAGAATACGAACAACTCCCGTGGGGGAATACGTGAAGTATCCTCAAAGCTCCTGTTGGCTCCTCTTGCAGGACTGGGGCGAGTGCAGCGCCTACTGCGGCAGCGGCTTCCAGAAGCGGCGCCGTAGCCTCGCGACGCTGCCCACGGCTTGCGGGGCCATGCCGGTGCTGCTCCCAAGGGGGCGTTTTTTTCTTTTTTTCCGCTGCGGTGCGGTGCCTCCTTTGCTTCCTTCGCTTGACTCTCGAGGAAGGGCACCGCGAGGACTACCGCCTCTGCGACCCGGCCTTGCCGGCCTGCGAGCAGGCTGAAACCCAAGCTCTGCTATGCTCTGCTCATGTCTGCTGAAGAAGGCTCCTCTATAAGTCTTCAGCCGAGGACCAAAACTGCCGCCTCTCCTTGTGGAGTACCTGGTCGGAGTGCACCTTGTCGGCTGTCTTTGCCGCTTCCTCTTCGCTTTCCTGTTTCACGCTTTACCTCAGGCTCCAAAGACTGTCACGGAGTCCGCGAGAGGGTCCGCCACATCACCATGTTCGCCCGCGGGAACGGAGTTCCCTGCTCCTTGGATGCAGCTGTGAGGCTCACAAGAGCCCGAACCTCGGCAATGACTTTTTTTCAGCCCAGGTGTTAACGAAAGCCTCAAGGACATCGAGGACTCGGGCGAGACATGAGGGAAGAGTTGCAGGTTAAAGACAAAATCCTCGCACCGCAGGACTGCAATCCGCTGCTGGGCGGCGCAGCACCTGCTGCCTGCGGCACGGCACCGCTGCAGGTCGACACGGAGCTGCGCTTCGAGAGAGTGCCGACAGCGCCGACTTCCCTGGCAGGACTGCGTTCTCCAGGACTGGTCCGAGTGGTCAGATTGCTCCGTGACCTGTGGTGGCGGCGAACAGCTCCGCAAGCGCACGGCTTCGGCCTTGATGCTTTCCCTGACAGTCTTTACAGGGACCTCAGTCAGGGCGCGTCTCTAAGGTCTTGCAGGCCTCCTCGAACGGCGGCAGGCCGTGCAATGGCACCCTGACCCTCGTCCAGGGCTGCAGCAGCACTCCTTGCCACGTCCATGCTGCTCGGCCTGCAGGTCTAGGAGCAAACACTCACTCTCATTCTCCCTCTCAGTCTCCCTCTCACGCTCACTCTCTAGCAAAGCTTGTGCTGTCCTGTGGCTGCCCGGGTGGGTCTGAGGTGGCCAAGGATTGCAAGTGGGGAGACTGGTCGGACTGGGGAGACTGCACTCACTGTGGCGGGCAGCGCACTCGGCACCGCGTCATTGAGCAGCTCCCGACGCTGCACGGCAAGCTGTGCGATGAGGAGGAGGCCAAGGAGGTGTCGAACTGCACCAGCTACTGCCATGATCGGAAGTATTGCGTGTGGTCTGAGTGGAGTGGGCGGGAATGTGCTCCGACATGTGGAGTGTCCACGACTATGCGAAACCGAGTTCTGAAACTCGTGGACGTCGCGGATGCGGAGGACTATCTCTTTGTGGGCGACAAACATTCCGGCTGCCTCGGCTCGCAGCTGGACGTGGCAACCTGTCCCAGCTCCAGCCAAGACTGCACGGAGTGCGTGCCCGTGGACTGTGCCTTTGGACCCTGGAGTGAGTGGAATGAGCCAACCTGTGTCGGGCTCTGCGAGCGCCAAAGGGTTGTGAAGCAGATGAGCAACGAGTGTGGCTCTCCTTGCAGCGGTGCTTTGCAAGAGACGAAGCATTGTCAGTCCAATTCCTGCGACGCGCCCCAGGACTGCGAGGTCTCAGACTGGACCGAGTGGAGCCACTGCAGCAATGCCACGGGACATATGGGCGGACAGAGGTATCGCCGACGGGACGTCCTCCAAGATCCAAAGCGCGGCGGCCTTGCATGCTATGGAGACCTGGGGCAGACCAAGGCCGGCGGCACTCCTGGGATTTAGGGTGAAAGTGCTTAATTAGTTGTTGCAGGCACCGTTTTGGCCGGGACATCCTTGCGCGCAGAGAGTTTCTAGCATGGCATGCCTTGGCAAACTGAGCTTAGCAGCAGGCTTGGACATAGCACGAGGTTTTGCACGGCATCAGTTTTGGACATAGCCGCACACCTGGACACAGTATCTGGTTGTGCATTTGCTTCGTGCAACAAAGAACTTTGACGTTACTTCGCGGCCGTTTTGGCTTAAGCCCGTCTTTCTGTTTGTCTTGCCTGCCGTTGGCCGTTGGGGCTGTTGTGGATCATGCCACTCCTGCCTCTTCACCGTTTGGTGCGGAGATTGCCGTCGGCAGCACAAGTTGGCACTTTACATTCGACGGTGATTTCCTAAGGGAAGTTCCGAAATCATAAGAGGATCCCCGCCGGACCGAAGCAACACTCGCGCTGCACGTGCTCCGGGCTACTTGCAGGAAGTCTGTTCCGTGGTGTCGTGTCGTGTTCGCTGGAGCTGGCTTGTGTGTCTTGTGGTGTTGATTGGTCTGGTGTCAATGGCCTGGCTCCTTACTCGAGAAGTCGTGTAGACTGTGGTGCGCCGGTTGCAAGAGTTGTTTCCTGGAGGCATTTTCGGTTCCAGCTCCATTTGGCAATGCGCTGTCCTCGGGATTCCGTTGCGGACTTCCTCCGTCTCACGCCAGGCTTGCTCAAAGAGTTGGGGGCCGCAGCTTAAATGAAAATGCCGATTGATAATGACCCAGATCTGCTATAACCTGCCGGGGCCAACAATTCTTCGAGCCTCTCCCATTGGCACGCAACATGCTGTGGCTCGTACATATATGGAGGACCCCCCACACCACCAAGCTTTTCTCTGGCACTGCTATGTTGATGTCGTTTAAGACACAGTGCACGGCCACCGCATTTTTGGATCGCTGTGCTGACTGTATTGCACACTCCCGGAGCAATCTCGAGCACATCCAAAGCCGGAAGACGATATCTAGAAGCCCGTTCAGGACGACATGATTTGCGGTCTCCATGAGCGGCCTCTCACCGGATACAATTTGTTGGTCAATCTGGCTCCTCATCACTTCGATCAGCTGACTCACTCATCTCTTCAGAGTGGTAGTTCAGATCTCGTCGTCGATGTCGCCCGGCGGCTGCTGCCACCTCCGGCAGCGCAAGAGGAGCGCACAGCGCGTTGCGATCGTCGACTGCTGCTGATCTGTCCATTGCCGCAGTTGATCCCGTGTAGCCGTCGTCCTCCTCCGCGGATTCTGACGCTTGTCCCCCGTCCGCGTGGCCCTGAGCTTGGCTTGGGTGCCGCTTCCGAACTTGGCGCAAGGGCACTGTCCTTGTCAGTTTCTTCTTGAGCTGCACCTTCACCTTGCGTTGGGCGATCGGGGTCGCCTTGGACGCCTGGGCCGTTGAGGCTAGCGGTGGAATAGTTTTTGAAGCTGAGGCTCCATGGTGGTGACTGTGTTCGGGCCATGAGGACACAGTACCGAAGGTCGTTCTTGAACGCATCCTCGTGGCGATTCCCTGTGTGTTTCCCATCCGTGAGGACAACTGCTCCCTGTTGCCGAAGCGTCGTGATTGCCGGAGACTTGGTGTAAACCGCATCGCGGAACTGCATATCTAGAACCCTTTCTGAACCCTCAGTTACTACCACAGCGGTTTCATAATAATCATTGCCAAAATGGCTGCTCTTGCTGTGCGCACCGGTTGGTTTGCCAAGGCAACCTTCCTCAGGAGCCGACGAGGCCCAGATGTCCTGTCACACATTAAGAGCTCTCTAAGCCTGCTCCCTACTGGCGCCTCTGGTGTTGCCATAAGCAGGCACGGATGACATTGAATTCGCGCCCCCCATTTGCCCTTTCTGCTGCTGTCCCTTGGCCTGTGCCTGGGTCTCGGTGATCATCTCAAAGTCCGTAGCGTTCTCGGGCAAAACATGGAGAATCTCGGGGAGGGTTTCACTCTCGGTGGCCGCGCGCGTCAGGCTCGCCGCGCTGGTACTCATCCCGGCTTGGACACTCTCGCTTCCAACGTCCAGCCTGGCCGCAGTATTTGCAAGTGCTGTTTGCAATGCGATCGGCGCCGTGCCCCTTTCGGCCTGGACCAGTATTGGCACCTTTGCCGCGACCTCTGGGCAGTTCGCCTTGTTTCGCAGCCTCTGCTGAGCCTCTCTTGGTAGGCCGTGAAGACTTGTGCCAACTCGTTGTCCTGCACCGCCTCGATGACCTGCTCGTCGAACTCTGCAATGTAGATGGCGTCCTCGCCACCCTGCTCGCAAAGTTTACTGAGCAGTGCCTCTTCATCGACCTCGGCGGTGTAGTGGATTTCCTCCTGGGGATCTTCTTCCGTGAAGTTCACATCATACACCTTGGTGCCCGATTGGCTGATGAAGTGCCTCTGCTCCGAAGCTCGCCGAAGAACCTTGAGCCCAGCAAACGCACGGCTTTGACCGTACTGGTGTGTTCCAGGTTGCCGGTGGCTTCGATAATTACCTTCTTGGTATCCTCGGCCGGAAGCTGACTGTGACGAAGGAGTACATAAGCTTTGATGTCCTGCACTCCTTCTTCGCCAAGACCTCCTTGAAGTGGGCGTCGTGGCTTGCGATGTACGAGTCTTCGCCCTCGTCTCGCTTTTGACTGATCTGAAACATGGCCTGCTCAACGTGGTAGTACTTATCTTCAACCGCTGTTCGTCCCTAAGAGCCTCCCAACGCTTCGACCAACAGGTTCACTCCGTCACTTCGCCGGAGTTTGCCCGGAGCAATCCTGCTGACCTTGGGAAAAGCTGATCCCTCAACTTGTAGTGCTGCCCTTGGCCGAGCAGTGCCACATGCTCTGTGGACCACAGCTCTTTGAAGAAATGCAAGCGCTTGAGGTACTCATCATGGTTGGCGGTTCCTGGAATGAATCGCGGTATCTGTTGCCATGGTAGGTGGCCAAGACCTACCGCTTGCTGGCCCGTTCCGTCAGTGGCTTCCGAAGTCGCAATGGATTTACATGGGCTTCAGTGTGTTGAGCTTGTTTGAATGGGGCCCCTCTGTTTACACAACCCTGTAGGTGTCAGAGCCAGGCTCCGATACCAATGTGGATTGCTCACGCTGGTACCCTCGATCCCTGAAAGCCTTAATCGGCTGAAGTAGGCCCCTGGCCTGGAAACGACTGAACTCTCGTATCTCGATAAAGTGTCCGGGAAAGCCTTCTCGAAAGCCTCAGGCAATGTAGCCCGGAACTTTGGCCCTCAAGCACGGCAGCTCCCGTCCCTCCCCTGTGCTGGGAACAAAGCAGCGAGAACAAGTGACGGCGGACTCCTCTAGGAACGCAAACAACCTGCGCCCCATGACGGCGGCGTCCTAGAACGTAAGAAAAGTGCCCCTGCTTTTGTTGGTTTAACAAAGGAGGAGCTAAATTTCCAGTACAGTTCGTAGAATTTTCTGGACTTTTCCGCGTGGCTTTACCCGTGTAAGACCCCTGTACGACCGGTCTGCAAAAGCAAGCTAGCGAGTGTCCAGCCCTAAGCCCGACCCTCCGTGTCCCTGCAACCTGCCAGGCCTGCAAAGGAGAGCTACCGGAGCCTTGTGTGATGGATCAGTGGCAAAGCTGGGGTGATTGTAGCACAACGTGTGGCGAAGGTTTCCGAAGTCGGGAAAGGACGATCAAGCGCTTGGCTGATGATGGAGGAACGCAATGCAATGGACGCTTATCGGAGGTGAAAGAGTGTCACGCAGGCTTTTGGGAGGATTGTGGTTTGGGGAGCGAACAGGACTGCGAGTTCGATGCTTGGAATGAGTGGAGCGATTGCAGCTTTTCGATGCAACGGGAGCGGTCGAGGGACTTCAAGAAGCGAGCGCTGTTGGGTGGGCTACCTTGCATGGGCCCAATGCACGAGCTCGAGACTTGCCACCACGACCCTGTCGACTGCACCGTTTCGGACTGGACTGATTGGGATAATTGTGATCGCACCTGTGGCTCGGCGCATAAGCGGCGTCAGCGGGAGATTCTGACTTTCCCCATGCACGGAGGAAACTTCTGTCCCAGCGATCTCGTTGAGATGAAAGCTTGCGATTTGGCAAACTGCGATCTGAAGGATTGTAAGGTTTCAGGCTGGCTCGAGTGGGGTGCCTGCTCTGCGTCCTGTGGCCCCGGTCAGCAAAGCCGCGTTCGTGCGGTGATCAACCTCCGGGAACCTGGTGGCTTCGGCTGTTTCTTCTCCATTGCCGAGAACCAGGCCTGCCAGGGCAGCGATGCAAATTGTGCCTCAGACTGTCAATGGGAGAACTGGGATGATTGGTCGGATTGCAGCCAATCCTGCGGCGGGGGCCACATGAAGCGCGAACGCAAGATCAAGACCATGCCTTCTGAAGGAGGCAAGGCGTGCGACAACAAGGACCCTGCGTTGTTCCACCATGGCCGCGTCGTGCTGTGGTTGCCGTGTTCCTCAGGACATGACGGAAATGCTGCCTTGCAACGTGGGCGCCTGCCATGAGCATTGTGCCTTGGCTTCATCTTGCTGGTTCGACACGAGCGTTTGGAGGGGGTCTGCCTCTGAATATCGTACGCAATCGTGGTCCAGGCGTCGACGGCGCCTGGGCCGTCTGGGAGCAATGGTCTCCCTGTAGCCGCACATGTGGAGGAGGTGTGACCTTCCGACGCCGGGAGGCGTGGGCTTTTTGCTGTGTTGTAGGTGGCCGTCAGTGTACACCACGTATCACGATTATGACTCACGTTGGAGAAGGGAGGTTGGTGTTGGGGAAGCAGGGCTCAGTGTGCGGCTATTGATTGTGTCTCCGCCGCAGTGCTGCCGGATGCCTTGTAGCATGTGTGTCACATTTGAGGTGAAGCAAATGGCCAACAGCTGCGGCCATCCGGCCATCGGCCACGACAAGGACCGTAGCACAGTCCAAGCATTTCAGGTGTTGCTTGCCGTGGTTGCCATGCTTGCACCAGTGCGAGTTGGTTGTTTCCTTGTAGGAGACGAAGTTCTGCAACGTCGACGTGCACTGTCAGAAAGACAAGGAGTGCTTTTGTGTTGTCCTGCTTTCTCAGCCGGTTTCACAGCTGGTTCTGCATCTTGCGTCATGCTCGGAAGGACTGCCTCTACACTGGCTGGAGTAGCTGGAACGAGTGCTCCAGCAGCTGCCGCTTGGCCTGACATCCGGGTGGAAGGTGCCTCTGTCTGAATGCGAAAGGATGAACCGTGGAGCCTCGGGAAACACTTGCACACGTTGAACCATGAACGAAGGCAAGCAAAGCTTGTAAATTGTAAAGCTGTAGATGATGAAACAACTCATCCGAGAACTCTCCTTGTGAAGAGAAGTGAGAGTCCCACCCTACTTCGAGCAGACACTTCAAGCAGTCGAACCGTCCTGTGCATCAGTCTAGGACCAAGCACCATGTTTATGTTTCGCATTGGAAACATCGCAGTTCAGTGTCAACACCGTGCCATTTCGAGTCGTTCAAGCATTGGATAAGGCACAGGCATTCGATTCCGGCGGCGAAGCATCGCCGCCTATGGCCACGGCGACGGCCTCTTCTGCCCCTCGGCCGAAGCTCCGCTCTTCTGGAAGAGGGCAAACCACTCCCTCTCTTGCAGGTCAGGGCGCGTTGCAGGAGGTCTCCATGTGCAACCCCGCGGAGGGCGAGGCGGCCCCAAACGGCTGCCCGGGCCTTGGCACGTCGCGCCCTCTCGCGCGTGTCTCGCGCCCTCTCGCGCCCTCTCGTCTCTCGCTTTGCTTCTTTGCTCTTCGCTTCTCTTTTCGCTTCTCTTTTCGCTCCTCTTTGCTCCTCTTGGCTCGCAGGCACTGAAGGGCCGAAGGTGGACTGCGTGCTCAGCGCCTGGAGCGGCTGGGAGGCCTGCAGCGCCACTTGCGACGGCGGCGAACAGAGGCGCAGCTTCGGATCTTTTGAGGGCTTGAGCCGCGGCTTGGCCTTGTCTATCCTTGTCTTGTCCTTCAGGCGCCACCGATACGTCACCCAGCATCCCCACCACGGTGGCCTTGCGTGCAAAGGTGTGGACGTGCGAGGGACTCAAGCGTTGCTCGCTGGCCCATCGTCTTTCCAGGCACGCTCGTGGATGTCCGGGAATGTGGTCGTGACCACTGCCACAATGGTGGCCATCCGTTGGATTGTGTTTACGGGCAGTGGAAGGAGCCGCTGGGCCGTTGACGTCAGCCAGCCAGACGGATGTTTGGATGTTTGCAGCTTGCAGAGCCAAGGTGGGCAGCCTGTGGACAATGTGACGGTGAGAGAAAGCGAGTCAGGGAGATTCTGGTTTACCCGGCAAAGGCAACGTCTGAGACTCTGAGGGTGCTTGCGATTGTGTCTTTGGAGTGCGAAGCGGTCAGGGCGGCAGAGAATGTGTCCCGGCGGCCATGGAGGAAGTGGGCGCTTGCCCCAACCCCTGTGCTTCAGAGACCTGGCTGCCATGGAAACGCCTTTCTTTGCCTTTGCAGAACGGATCCACGTTTCGGAAGCCTCGGATCCCAGGAGCTTGCCTGCTCCTGGCAAACTTGGCCGCGGCCTTGGCTTAGTTGCACTGTGACTCCTCGGTGGCTCTCTGTGCATTGCATTGCCACAAGAGCGTGATGTGTCGCTGCCTGCTGTGGCTCAAGTGTGCATAATTCACCCGTGTCAAACCTGACTGCGGGCCTTTACTAAAGTGCCGAAGTTCCTCTTCGATTTCTTTCGCTGTCACATCACAATGGACGGCATCCAATGGAATCCTGGCAGCTCGGGGCACCCAGATCTTTGTGCACGACCCTGTGTCTACATCGCCAAGAAGGGCGCCTGCAGTGTGGATTCTTGCAATTTCTGCCACTTGGGCCATGACCCGGATCGGCCGCCTGCGAAGCTGGATCAGAGAAGCCGGCAGATATTGTCGAAGCTTGCCCGTGGTGACGTTTGTGCATTGCTTTTGGGGATTTTCCGTGCCAAGATAGAACAGACGGAGCAGCTTCGCCACGACCCAGCTGCACACCTTGTGTCGAAGCTCTTGCAGGAGGAGATCGCAAAGTACCCGCCGGAAGGACGTCTGGCGGGGAAGAGATCGCAGGAGTTGCGGAAGTTCCTGGGGCGCATGTCGTTGACATATTCGATGACGTATTTCTCGCCGAACTTGCCAGAAAACTTGCTCGCGGCCTTCGAGCGGATGCGTCAGAGCCATGCATCGCCAAGAAGGGCAGATCTGTCCTTGAAGGAGGCACTTGTCCTGTTCCCGCCCCGCATGATCACAGCCATGCGCAATGACGAGGATATGGACGACCTGATCACAGAGGGTGCAGTGTGGCGTGTCTGAGCCTGCTTTCACGTTTCGGTGCTCCGATAAGGGGGTCCGGACAAGCATGGTGCAAGCTACATCGAGTACAGCGCCTGTGTTTACGCTGTACAGTACAGTTGCCCCTGACTTCTGTGCCAATCCCCCACAAATCATAGAGTGCAGCTGCATGTTCCTCTTCAAAGTTCACTTCCCAACTTTGCTCCTGAGATTGCGCGTGCACAGTCAGATAGCGATCGCAAGTTTTTGAACATCTGACCAAAAGACATCGCGCATCTCAAGATGTCAGGGGTACGTGTACTCATTGCGAAGGAAGGTTATATCAGTCATATCCTTCAGAGAAGGTTATATCAGCTATATCCTTCAGCTTTTCGGCATGCTTCACCCGATTCTTTGCCCTGGCTCCGGCCTTGCGATGCATCTTCGACTCGTCGCAGGAGCCACTGAAGCTCATGATTCGCCAGTGAATCCTGTCGGGACAGCGGTTGGTATCCGCCGAAGATCTTTTGCCGGTGCCACAACGGCGATCATCGGTGCGGGATGGACGAGAGCAGGAAAAAGGCGAGCTCGGTTGGCCTTCAGACGCGATAAGACGCGAGAGACGGTGCGAGTTGTGCCTTTTGACATGCCCAGGTCCAAGTGGAGCTCTTGCTCTGCAACCTGTGGGACCGGTGGAAAGAGACACCGCGTTAGAGAGCTGATCAAGGCGCTTGCCGTCGTTCCACGAGGTTGCAGGGACCTGTCGCTTTGCGATGGAGGTCACGCGGCCCGTGAACAGCGGGCTTGCGGGTAAACCGCACCGGGACCTCATCCAGAAGTACCGGACGCTGTACGACCGCACACGCAGCCTGGAGGAGGGCCAGATGAAGGCACCTTTCCAGCGTTTCCATGCACGGACATGTGTTGGAGTGCCGGAGTGAGGGCTCTACTTCAGAATTCTGCACCGTACCGAAGTGCCGAAGAGATGTAGCAGTATGCAGCAATGTAGCGCGCTTTCTCAGGAGATAGGCCTTGCCTTCCTCGCGGGCTTTCTGGCGCTTTCAGCCGTCGGAACCTTCGTGCAGCGGCTGCGGCGGCCTGTGGTCGGCCAGGTGGGAGGGACGCCCCAAAGCGGTATATGATTCACCAAAATGCAGGAGCTTCACTAGTCCGACATAGTCCGACCGAAGGATTCAGTTGACGCGCATCCCTGGCCCCCGGAACTTTCAGGTCACGCTGGTCGACACCGAGCAGGTTGGAAGTTTGCAGGGTGGACTGAAGGGGAGCAATTTCTGTGAACCTCCTCAGGCCCTTGCCGGTGACGAGGCCTCCGATGTGGAGGTCCCGTTGGTGGCATCGCTTTAGGAGGCGCGCCTTCTAGAGCATAGAGCATGGGGCCTTGATGCGGCTGCCAGCTCGTAGCGTTGAGGAAACCCCAGCAGCCTCTGAGTCTCACGCGCAGCCCGTCTCACGCAATTCCACCAGATGCGTTGTTGTGCCTCTGCGAGTACAGCAGTGAGACTGTGCAGGCTGGGCACAAAGATGTCCGTGCGCACCACCGCTGTAACACCGGGAGCCGCGAAAGAAGCCAAATCACCAAATGAGCAGATTTCCCTGGCTAAGCAGACTGTCTACACAGTCAGGAGGAAACTACACATTGAAGTTTGTTTTTTGCACAGAATCTTCTCACCGAACCCGCACCTCACCTTCGGCATGACAAGATTGCCGAATCACACTGCGCCGTGAGAAGGCTTGGTTCATGTCATATCGCAACACAGGGGAAGCATAACCACAGCAATGAAACGGCCATGGACGCAACAGAAGCTGGATAAGCTGGAACAGTAGCAACCAATGCTCCGAGCTTACATCAACTTGTACCCTTCGACAAGATGTAGGTAGGGCCACTGGTCCCAAGAATCTGTGGGTCTCTAGCCCTCTGGGATCCTGAGGGCACGCCAATGAAGCGGGGCCCACTGCACAAATTCGATGCCTCAGGTTAGGAGGTCAAGTAGGAGGCCGGCTTTGGCCCTGAGATCATGGAAGAAAGCCCAGAGGACACACATGATCTTTGCAATGACCGTAGCTCTTCGGCTTGTTGCAGGTACTGTTCCCAATGATCCTCAGGGCAGGATCTCGTAATTTTTGTGGACACGATATCTCACGTAGCTGCTCTCATTGGCTTGTAACTGGATAATGAGGAATGTTGAGTCAGTACAAAAGGCCGGGGCATCTGCCATCTCAGCCCAATCAGTTTTGCCTGGAAGTGATGCGCCTCTTTTCTCTTCAGGGCTTTGATGCCAATTTTCGAGGAAGAGATGCTGGGTGATGGCTATGCCGCGGCGGAGCGCATTGCACTGGAGCCCAACGGCAACCCCAACTATCTGTCGCTTGGAGATGATGAGCAGTAGATGATGCAAGTCGATGCAGATGCCGAAGCAGCAGACCTGACACAAGGATCGACCCGAATAATGCCAACTTCTTCCACATGATGTTCTTCTTGTGAGAGCTCGGCAGCTAGATCTGTAGGGTAGGTTCCATCTCCATGCAACCATGGCGACTTTTGAAGTGCAGCTTTGATGGCTTCTGCTGGCCTTGACATAGCAGCTGCATGTTCAGTGCGTCTTGCAATTGTTTGGCCAGAACATGTGTCCTGCAGAAAGGGACGCTGTGGGGGCCCAGTTTACCCTCCAGACCTGTGTAGCCTGCGAGGCAGCTCATGTCTTGGCCAGTGGCCTTCCGCAGTTTTGAGCCTTCTTGCCCATGTTGCGTATGCGTGATGCGGCAAGTTGCTTTATCTTACACCAGTTGCACAGCGCGTGCGAGGCAACAAGTGGCTGAGCCAGCCTCTCTAGGCTTTTTGCAAATGATATGGGGTAGTTTTATGATGCTCGCGCACACGCCCGCCCGCCCGCACGCCCGCACGCCAGCCCGCCCGCCCCTGTCTGCACACTCGCATCACTCACACTCGCATGTTGGCATGCTCGCATGCTCTCGTACCCTCGCACGCCCGAACACACTCACACATATCCGATTGCATGTTACTAGTAACATGTGCTTCTCCCGTCTTCGGCTGTTTGAGTGCAGCTGCATGGCTCGACAGGGTCTCTTGCCCCTTCAGGGGCCTTCCCGGAAAGGGGCGCCGGCGTTGGTTGCACCTCGAGCCGCGAAGGTTCCTGAACTTGAGAATCTTGAGACACCCGATGGGTGATCTTTGCTTTATCACAAATACCTGCGGCAGAGGATCCGTGTCGCTGAAATCCATCATGGGGGAGGCCATGGGCACGTGCAAACAGACCTAACGTCAACTCGTTGCAGTGCCGTGTGCATAGGCGCTTCCTCGGTGACCTCTGCAAAGCCTTCCCATGTTCTTTGAGCGACAGTCATCTTCAGGCAGCGATTCTGTCGGAGAAGTTGAAGAGGCCCTGCTTTTCGACAGGGCCGAGCGGGGGGCTCTAGAGAGTGAACGGAGTACAGACATATGGTGAGGTATGGCGCGGTGGGAGCCGGCTTGATCCCGGACTCGATGGCCACACTCCGCCTGGTCGAGGCGCTCTTTGAAAAGATCTCTGCCCTGTCCTCCTGGCAGCCTGGCAGTGACAGGCCGCAAAGAACGCTTCGTCACAGGGTACACCGGACCGAAGAGACACGTGCACTCAGAAACTTGCGTTGGCGGAGCCTCGACCAGGCTATGCAGAGCCTCCTGCAACATCCAGCAGCGCTAGCACAGGTGCCCTGAATCCGGCAGCATTGCGGCGGCATCTTGGCTTTGCTTCTCGGCGCTGGGTATCCAGGCAGCCGCAAGATCTGGAAAAGGCCAAGTGGAGGAGCAGCGTGCACGAAACTTCAATGATGCCGAGTCACGTTGTCCGCTCTCTGTGCAACCCTGCAGGAGTGCAGACGAGGCAAGACATCCTCGAGCTGTTGGACGAAACCATCCGAGTGCAGGGTGAATCTGGCTAGTGATCGAGAGTCCCCCGCTCTCTGTCTGTCTCTCTCCGGCTCCTCCCTCCCGCTCTCTCCTGCTCTCCCGCTCTCTCTCTCCCTCTTGCTTGTCGCTGGCTCTGTCTCTGTCTCTCTCTCGGGGGGACGGAGACTGCTACGTATGTCACCCTTGAGATCCTGTCCTAGCCAGGCATTGTGCAGACTGAAATCAGTCAGCTGGCCAGAAGCATAGCGAAAGAGGCGAAGGCGGCCGGGACTTTGGACGTCCCACGAGGCAGGAAGTGAGGCCAGTCCTTGCAAGGAGAAGCAGGAGGGCAAGAAGAAGAAGAAGAAGGCCCTCTCCATCACCGAGGCTTTTCGCAGAATCAAGGCGAGCTACTCCGAAACAAGTTGTGGGACGAGTGATTTTTTCGTCTTGCGCCAGGAAATGCAGCTGCCGATAGATCCCCTGGAGGACTGAACCTGCGACTCGGGTGAAGGTCGGATGCATCTGCGAGATTCTTCCGGAGGAGCTCAACCTCAGTGAGCAGGCCTTCCAAAAGCTTCTCACAGAGTGCCCCACCACGCTGGGCCCTCTTTCTCTCTCTCTCTCTCTCTCTTTTTTTTGGCTTAAAAGCCGCTGCCAGGTACGAGCAGGACCAGGAGGCGACACCTTTGCTGTCCGTGCGATGTCATCTTCGATTGATGGGTATACCATACTATATACTTATACTATATACTATAAGAGTATATTCAGTATATAGTATAGTATATTACTATAGTATACTACAGTCTTAAGGGGACCAGGGATGGGGGCCTTCAGCGCTTTCATGCTGAACCTCTCAGGTCTCGGCCAAGGCCCAGCTGCTCCTTCACCCGGAGCCCAAAGGCGACCTCGCCAAAGCCCGGAGTGCGCTCCTTCGAAGGGGGGGCGGCACTTGGGAGTTCCTGCTGCCTCGGATAGAAAAAACACTCCGTGTTGCATCTTAGTGTCGTGCCGAATCGATATCCCGGCTCCTGTCACTTTCCACGAACATGCACGGCGAGAGCTCAGAGGTATTGGCATTGAGAAGATCGTGGAGATCCATCAGTTCATGGTGGTCTGCGTCCCTGCTAAAAGCTTCCGCAAGCGACGGACTGAGCCCCGGAGCCAGAGGTGGAGATGCAGAAAGTTCTCACGGAATTCCTGGCGCTGGATCAGGACGCGGTTCGGCTTCAAACAGAAGAGCTTTCGAGAGCGTTTGCAAGCACCGAGGAGACGCGTCGAAGCTTCAGCAACAAGGCTTTGCCTCTGCAGGGACTTCTCTGCTCGCTGTTGTGTCCCGCGCTGTGAAAAGGCATGTGAGACCACTGCTGAACTTCTCGTGAAGACCTCATACATCCACGCAATCGAGCTCGTAAGCTCTGCTATGCCTCCGGAAGAGTCTGTCGTTTACTCCGAGGTGTCCGTTGCAGTGGAACAGCAGCTCGGCGTACACTGTGAGGACGTAGAGCAGGCCATTGAGACCTGAGTATCGGGCAAGACGGGCTGGCACCATCGCCATGAAATCTTTCTCTTTGCATCAGGCAGTGATGCAGTGCTGACCCCAGATCGTTGGGAAGAGCCGTAGATGCCAAGCTCTGCCTCAAGACGGTGCTGCACAGGCACGAAGAGGTGCTGGCAAATCATCCAGAGCACGGCGTCCCAGGAGTTATGGCGAGAATGTTCGGCGTGGTGTGAGCTTAGTGCGAGGTTTGCGCGCTGCACCGAGCAGCTCGCGAACATGATGCAGTCGGGGCCCCACCGAAGACTTGAAGCTGCTGCGAGCGTAAGCTAGCTGCGCAAGCTTCCGCTCGCTACGATCTTCGAAATCGCTTGAAAGGCACCTCACGGGTGCAGCCCAGCCAAGGGCCAACAAGGCAACTGCCGTCTTGCCGTGCCGTGACTGCCCTGACTGCCGTGGCCGTGCGCGAGCCGGAGGCAGATTTCCTGGAGGTTCTCCGAAACATGGCGGACCACTCCCAGAAGGCCAAGGACCCCTCGATGATTTCGCGCGGCGCGCTTGCTGGATGTTGCCATCTCGCTCAGGACTTCGCCAAGAAGGTCTACGAAGAGTACCGGGCCAGAGTCTCAGGCCTCCTTCACCCCTCAGCCCCTTAGAAGCGGCCTGTGAGGCGAAGACCTGTCCGGTTGGGGATGCCTACCGCCGCTTCGAGGAGCTGGAGGGAGCAAACGCGTGGCTCTTCGGCTCACCTTCGCTCCATAAGATCTCCTTTTGGTATGCAACGGTGCAGATGGCACGAATCCTCGGCACCTGCAGCTTCAAGCATTCACGCTTTGCACGCCTGCAAAGGTCCTGATGTGCTTAGCTGACAGCTGCTTCTAGAAACTGCCAGGACTTTGCTGCCGAGGCGCCGGCTGCAAAGGAGGGCCTCGAGGTGCCTTTAAGAGGGGCGGTTCTCAGAAGCCTAGCTCGCCAAGAATGCTCCCGGCGACCATATCATCAAGTTTCCGCCGCTCATTCCGTCCTGGATATCCTCGTTTTTGCAGCCGTTCGACCACTCGATCCCCCCTCACAACCCACAAGCAAATCTCCGGAAGGGCACATGACACCGAGTCACCTCCAAAATCAAAGACTTGTTCATTGGTCCACCTAACCCTGCGCGAACTGAGTGCGCGTGCGGTTGTAGGTTCCCTGATCCTTTGCAATCAAAGAGTGACCCATCCAGGGATCCTTAGTCCGCTGAAAGCTCCGAACTCGCACTATTTCACAACTTTCAAGCACCAACATCTCCGCTGCAGAGAGTTTTCTTGCCCCAAACAGGAACTCTTGGAGACCTCTCCTCAGAACGCGGCTCTGGAGTTTGGATAGGTGGCACGCGGCTGTGGAGCTGGGGGCTCGCGGGTTTGGATGGGTGGGGATGGCCGGAACTCGGCTCTGGTCCTTCCTGCGATTTGCTGGGACGACGGTTTATCACCCTTTGCAAACCGCCCGGAAGAAAGTACTGGGGGACCGGCCTCCCTGCCACAGAGTGCCACTGTTTCCTCCGCCCCGAAATGTTGTCGCAAGCTAGTTGAACTGTTTCCTCCAAGCCCTAACAATTCTGCTGGTTGCATATCTTTTGAAGCCAGCAGGGCCTAGCATAGCAAGATGTTTGGTCACAAGATTCAGCAGCCCTGTTGAAGCGGGCCTCAAATGGGCTTCAAAATGCCTTGCAAATACCGTCCCAGTACTGGAGATTCGCATTTACTGAGAGGGTATTTGAAGCCAATTTGAGGCCGGCTTCAACAGGGCTTCAGGCACGAATGTTAAACTCTCAATAGAAGAGTAACCATGAGCAACATGAGCAATCGTGTTCGGTCAGCCGCTGGCCATGCGATGATGCGGCCAGCAGAATTTGAGTTTGCGGTCTGCCAAAAAGTCCCTTGAACGCACTACTTACCCCGATCCTGTTCGACATCCATGTGCCGGGCGACATTTAGGGAATGCCTCAAGCACAAGCGCTTGGAAACCCACCGAAAATCCCTCTGAGGGAGCCCGATTCACGCTTTGAGGAATTGCAATGGGTTGATGCGTGGGAGTGCAATGCATAGGAGGGAGAGCCCAAGCAACTGAAACGAAAGTAAAATGCAACTCAGACAAGAGAAATCATGGTTCGAGCTGCCCGCGATCTTCTTGACACAGCGAACAGCGATTATGCCGATCCTTTTTGTAGTTCCCCAACAGCCTGAGCTCTGGGGTCGATTGGGGCCAGAGGCCCAAAGCAGGGCAGGTTCCCAAATGGGTTCCGAGAGGTTTTGCGAGCAGAGGGTCCGGGGCAGTTCGAGGTACAGGGCAGAAGTTCGGGGCGGGCGAGGTTCAAGGCTTGGACCCTCCTATCTTTGTGTCCATACTAGTTGGGGTCTTCGCCGGCACTAATCTAATAAGACTCGCCGTGGGAACTGTATGGTCAATTCAAACTGTTCAGAGCAATCACTGTGGGGACATTCGGAGGAGCGAGCAGAAGAGGGACTTGAAATTCTGAGCAGGAACAAACTGTCTGGAGCAGAACCCTGTATAATTTAATGTATAATTCAGTAAAATCATGTTACACCATACTAGTATACAGTATAATAGTAGGGTAATCGTATGGTATAAAAACTATAGTCTCATTATCATGGTAAAGCAAAAACTTTGCGATAGTGTAACGAGGAACAGAAGACAAGGCCGTGGAGCCCTGCGGGCCATCGCGATTCTTCTCTCTAGTTCCTTGCCGAGCAGATGTACTTATCCTTTTGAAGATCTTGCTTCGCTCTTGGGGATGTCGTCTGAAGAGCCTCAGACTGCTGGGTTTGGACTCGCTCTCCGAACAATCTGTCATGGATGAATTGGTAACACGTGAAGCGGATCAGTTCTGAATTATCACGAAAGCTTCTGTGTCAGGGCAGAAGGGGGAAGGGGTGGTGTGTGTGTGTGTGTGCGTTTGGGGGGGGGGGGGTGGAACGCTTACTTTGAAGAGAAGGTCGGTTTGCTATTCCAGCCATCATCACGGTTGCAGATGCCAGGACCTGACGCCCGTGGAGCTGCAGCTCTGCTATGATGAGTACCGGGAAGATCCCGAGGTGGGCCCAGTCTCCAAAAACGTCTCAGTCGTTGCAGTTTAGGAAGCTTCTAGCGTTTATCGCTTTGTCGCCGAGGTGCACCGTGCATGGTCCAAAGCTGGAGTGGAGAACAGCATCATGATGCCGGGACCCTAGCCTTTGTTCGAAAGGCTCCGAAGCCGAATCCCTGTTGCCTGGCCTTTGCCGTGTTTCCAAAAGTCTCCGAATTCCTCTTCCTCTGCCTGCTACCTGCTCTTCAGGGCCAGCTGCGTCACCTCCCTCCTCAAGAACGAGGCCTCCACGCCTTTGCCGGAGGCGGGCAGCTTCGATTCTGGGCCGTTGAGTTTACTTTGTCGGCTTTGGTTTCGAAGGACAAGAAGGGGAAGAAGATGAAGACCTCGGAAATCGTGGAGATGCAGGCTTCCGGGACCCAAGTGTCCTGTATTCTCCTGACATCCGTCGCTCTTTTTTCGAAGTCCTCTTGTGTGGGGGTCCGCCTTGAGCTGCAGCTGGTGCCTATAGCCCCGTCGAGGAGCTGATGGTGGATGAGATGAAGCGCCTTTCTGAGGCCTCGAGTGCTGCAGCCAAGGTGCGGCGGAGGACAACTGTGACTCAGTGTTGTTTCCTGCTGGTGCGGAGTAGAGTGTGATGAACCCTGTAAGGCCCGAGCTTGCCAGAGCTACCCGAAAGCATTGCAGTGTGCTGTTTGATTTGCCAGGCCTCACCATCCTCGCCGTGGCGAGCAGAGATTGCCATGCAGATGGCCATCTCCCCAGCTCCGAGCCAGGGCGATGCCATTGCAAATCTGCCGTCGTGGAAGGCGGCGGTGGGGATTCTCAGCGTCTCGGGCAGAGTGCCGAGGTGCAGTCGCTTGCAAGTGCAGCGGTGGAAAGAAGGCCGGGGATTTCTGTCTGTGCTGGGAAAACTGTGGGAAGCTGGTTGCGCCCTCGGCTCGAAGGTACGGAGTGTCACCAGAGGAGATGACAATCGCCGGCATCCAAAATGCAAGTGGCCCAGAACAGGTGCAGGTGCCGACCCGGCACTTGGTTTTCTTTGGAGCGCCGAGGCTCCCGCCTTGCAGAAGAACGAGCGCTTCGTCCGTGCAACGGAGAAGCAGCAGGTGGCTGGGGGAATCGGCTCCGCTGTCCTCTTCGTGCCCTGCCTTGAGCCCCAGGAGATCATCATGGCGGTGGCGCAGTTTTGTGCACAGTAGGCCACTGTAGGCCACTGTAGGCCCGGCCGGGGGGGCCGAGAGCTGAGAGCCCCGTTCCCCGCGGGCGAAGCCTGGTTCTACTCCAGAGGTGCTAGAAGCTTCCGGTGCTGGAAGCGCGTAGGTGTAGGTGCCCTCTTGGCACTGCCTCGGAGACATCGCTTCTCCATGGCCCTTCTCACCCCGCCAGGGCTCTGCGGCTCTGCCAAAGAACGGTTACAGGATACATTGGCCTACGCCTTCCCACCCTGAGTTTGTGCATCCGGCAGCCTGGCAGGTTTTACACCCGCCCAGCGTTCTCACCTCGAAGGTGCAAAGTGGCGATTTGTGAGCCAGCTGGCGCACAGCGGCGTGAAAAGGGGGGGAGCCGAGCTGGTCTGCCCTTTCTTGGCTGTGTTGCCTTTCGAAGCCGAAGCCCCCCTTTTCGAAGCCTTTCGACGCAGCTTTCGATGCGGCTCCGGCTCCGCAGTCCGCAGAATGAAGTTGCTGGGCCTCCTGGGCTGGCTCAGCCTGCTGGGCCCAGGCTCCAACGCTCGCTGCCGCTTCTCGGATGCGCCCTTCGCGTGCCCTGCCCAGGGCTCCTCGCGAGGGCCGGGAAGCTGCGGTCGACGCGAAGGAATGTCGGTGTCGTCGTGGTGCCACGGGCCGCATTTCTGGGCTTTCAGGCGGCTGTGATCTGCTGCGATTGCTGCATGGTTGGAATCCAGGTGGGAGATCCGTCCTTCCAGCGCCCCGTGGCTTAAGGGGTCGGCGTGATGTTTCAACTTCACGGAAATGTTGGCTTCGAAGTCGGGTTCTCACAGGTCGCTATCAGGCGCAGATCAAGAGCTTGAAGTGCTATGCTGACAGGCACGCTGTTTGGAGACTGCAAGCTGCCTAGCATGTCAATGTCCCACTTGGCGCAGGCACGGCTATGACATGCACCTCCTCACGGCTTCCGAGTATGACGAGTGCAAGCACTTCAAGGACTTCTTCTTCAGCCGCTCGCCCTTGCATGACCCGACTCACTGCCGAGAGAACGCACTGCCCGCTGGCAGTCCAAGGAAAGCATTGCACTGTGTCGAAGTGGCTGGAAACCCAGCCGGCGCACTACAATGCAGCAGTCTTCGATGGCGATGTCGTGGCTGCAGCACCGAAGAGGGGCCTGGCAGGGACCTCAGAAGGGGGCATTGCCCTTGTCGATCTTGAGTTTGAAGCCGGAGGACAAGTGGATCGACCATGGGGCGGACGTGCAGCTTTACAACCGCTTCAACCTCAGGATTTCGGGGGCGACGGACGTGCCGGTCGATTGCAAGTAGGTAAGCGCACGTGAGTTCTGTAAGGCTGCTTGTTTCACGAGATCATGGCCGGCCAGCCGGCTTCTGCTTGGAAGAAGTCTATTTGTGCTGCGGAAGAGCCTAGTTCATGTACTGCATAGGGCAAAAGGGCAATACCAAGTGCGCTTCAGTTTCAGGCAACTACATGGTTCGAAACACACCCTTCTCCCGGGACTTCCTCATGCGCTGGGCCAAGTACTACGACCGCCGGCCCAAGGGCTTCTCCTCCGCAGACAACGGTGCGATACAGCTCGTCGCGCCTGGCCTCAGAGGATACACTACAGAAACGCAGACAATTACGGGGGACTGTTGCGTCTGCAGTGTCTACTATCTTCTGCAGGTCTTCGGACTGCAAGGTCCTACTCTCTTCACCAACACTCAGGTGATGGAGACCCTCCGTGTGGAGGGCTTCGAGACGTGCTTCAACATGTACGAGAACCTGACAAGCTCAGTGTCGAACCTGCAGCCATATTGGGATTACGTGCACTGCACCAAGGAGGCCTTGCCCCTCCCAAAACAAAAATCAAAAGGCGTGTATCAGATCGGGTGCAGCAGAACGCCGCAAGAAGAGTCTCGCGCTCCCTCTCTCTCTCTCTCTTTCCGTTTTCTCTCTCTCTCTCTCTCTCCCCTGCGCCCCCTCCCCTTCTTCTGTAAAGGCATCCACACACATGCATGCATGGGTGGGTGGGTGGGTGGATGGGTGGATGGGTGGATGGGTGGATGGGTGGATGGGTGGATGGGTGGATGGGTGGATGGATGGATGGATGGATGGATGGATGGATGGATGGATGGATATGCATCCACACACATATGCGCACATACAAGAGAGCCACCTCCGGTTCTTTTTTTAGACCTCTGGGAGGCCATCGGCCCGGCGCGGAAGTGGCAGTTGCCCGCGGGTTCGCTCACCCTTTGGCCGCGCTTGGAGTTCTACGTGGCTGACGGGGTCTTCCTGAACAGGCAACGGTTTAGGACTATTTGGGGATCTAGCGTCCAGGCATCTGTGAATCATCGAAGACCGGGTCGGGCAGTGCGGCCCTACTGTGGTTGCTCTCGGGCTGCGCACTCCGAATTGTCATCAGCATTTTAACGGATTCGAGCAGTGGGGATATCCATGCCGTTGAAGACCGCAATGGGTCGCCCCCGGTCTAGTCCGGAGGCCCCCCATCCGAGCCTTGGAAAGGTGGGCCAGCGAAGAAGTTGGCCCTGTCTTCCACCACGGCATCAAGAACCCCGATGAGGTCACTTCCTTCTACTATCAGGCAAGCTTCGAAGCAGAGCCTGAGTTGGGCTCGAGTCCGCTCGTTTCAGGACCTGGAGCGCTGCGAGGTGAATGCCTCCTCGGTGCTGCGCAGCGCTGCGCAGCTCGGGGAGACCGCCCTCCACCTCGCGCAGAGCTACCCGGAATACTTCCCGGCAGGCCCCTCCTTTCAGCGGCCCGCTAAGTCCCGGCAGCCCGGGCTGGGGGCTGGGAGTTTCAGAGGGGCGCTGTCTCTGTCTGCTGGAGAGAGGCAGCGCCTGCAAGCAATGCGCGGAGCGGTGCATGAAGAGCTTCAGCTGCCAACCGCTGGAGGCTTTGAAAGCCTGAAAAATCCCGAACTTGAGAGAACTCCGAAGTAGCCGCAGGACGCGGAAGAGCCGCGCCCCAAGCAGGCAGAGCCGGTGCGACATATTGGGTCTCGATTTTTTGAATCGCTTAGGCTTAGGGAAGTTCCTGACAGCTTCTGACGGATGACGGCGTTCACCGGGCAGGTAGGTGCAGCTGCCTTCAACACTGCCGGTTTCGTCTTGGTGGACTCGGCAGAGAGCCGAAAGTGGGATTCCAAGTCAGCAGTTCGGGGTTACGGTCCATGAGCCATGCGTCACCAGCGTCACTCAAAGCTCCTTGTGTCTTTGGGGGTATGTCCCTTAATCATTATCTATACCATTTTGGGGGTTCCTTATTATGCTTATAGTATAAAAAGGACCCCTAAACCCTGTGTCGCCAAGATTCGCCGAGGCACTCATGGGGCTGGTCGCGCTGGGCCGCGTGAAGGGAGCCGCAGGTTCGGAGTCGCCGAAGACCCAGCAAGGACCCAGGATCCGCCCTTAGCAGGTCCATTTCCTGATCTCGGCATCCGGTAGCTGCGCTTGTAGGAGCTTCGAGCCTCGCGACATTTTGGGGTTTGTCGCAGTGGGACCTGTTTGTATCTCGAAGTGTCCAGAATGCATGAGGCGGTGACATTGGCCGAAAAAGCTGCCTTAGAGTCCTCTTGCCCTGGCCACTTTCCTGTCTTTGGCATGTGCTTGGCTCGTTTTTCATTTTGGATTCACACCTTGATTCTGGCTCGAAGATGGTGTATGCCACAACGCAGCACACATGCGGTGATCTCGAGTGTGAGGCCCCCAGATGGCTCCCGTTGAGTTCGGGTGTGCCTTGCAGTCCAAGGCAGTTCGCCTTGTTTAGACGCTTTTCTCCGAGCTGCGGGAATCGGTCGCCAAGCTTCCAGAGAGGCCGCGGTGAAGACTTGTCCACGCATTCTCATTTTTTCACGTTGGGTCACAGCTCGGCCGTGCTTCGTTACCAAGCACAGCCAAGCGAGCAATCGTGTTGTTTTCACAGCTGGCCAGGCGTGCTGATCTGTTTTCCGCAGCGGAGACTTGCAGTGTAGAACCTTGGCGACATTCAGACATTGGCCGTCCTGGCATTCTTCCACATCCATGTGTGTTTGTATGCACAGGTCTGTATTCCGGGAGATCAGTATACACAAAATCAGACACCATCTCTCCATGGTAGTTCTGTCCATCCAAGTATGTAGGTAATATATATATATATATATGTATATACGCAGTATATATATATAATACATATACACATCTGTATGTATGCATGCATGTATGCATGCATACATACATCTGTGTATGCATGTGTATGCGTATGAGTATATGTCTATGTGTATGTATACCTACATAAATAGAAGTTTTGTATGCATATGCATGCTTGTCTGTGCGTATATATATATATATATGCGAACAGACTTCGATGCC